AATTAGGCTTTATGCAAAAATAAATAAATAAATAAATAAACCTACCAACAGCACATGTATTAAATGTTTTTAACTCTGCAGTGAGAAGAATTCATTTTTCAACATTATAAATAATAAAACCTAAGTAACTTTTCTTGGAACATTTAAATGCTTTAATTACATGAATTCKTTGATTGGATTGAATAATCTGAATGTATCGTTTATGGGTTCAAAATTAATTCATCTGATCATGAGTGTTTACTTGCATCAGGCTTTTATTGAGAATAGAAGTACTGACGTGTGCAGAGTTGTAGTTTTACTTCCATGATAGTGCCCAGAACTGAACCACACCAGGTTTTAATAATGTAGACGTTATCGRACTCTGTGTTCAAACACTTTCCTCCATCTAGGCGTTCCTAAATTTTGAGCTCATTAAAGTTTCTAATAGGAATTTACTGACCAATTTTACCTCCCCGACATAATCTAGTCAGGCAGAAATATGTCAGACATAGAGTGCGCAGTCAGGTCAGTTTTCCATGATCAGAATAAATGTTTACATGCACGCCGTTCAGATTATCAATCGGCATAAACCAACCCCCTCATTCGGATTACAGATTCATTCCAGTCAAGCTGAATCAGATCAGAATGTCCTGATTAGCTGTTTATTCTGATTATTTATGTTCATGTAAACATAGCTGGTGTTTGCTGCTGCAATTTTCCTCCTGAACTGTAGGTGTCACTAAAGACAATAAGTGTAGCCAGCCAGGAGAGCTGTCTGCTTTAAAAAATGGAGGGAATCAGTTCTTCAGACACAACTACACTATAATGTTTATAAGTTTTATAATATACTGTATGTCTGAAGATACAAACCAATGAATTGAAATTTAACCCCAAAACTGTCTTGGTACACTGACGTTCTGTCGATGCATTTGCATCAAACACATGCATAACCACTTAATTCACTAATTTCTACTAACATTCCTGTTGTATAAGTCTCATGTTGTGTTATAAATTGGTGCATATCAGTAAGTTGAGAAATATTTAAATAAGACAGCTGGTAGTGTGTGTAATTTATATATAAAGCCATTAAATCGACTCACTTCTGTTGCTGGTGTCAGCGTTGTTCTCAGGTTCTTCTGGAATGCAGAGCACATATTGACACAGACATCAATCATTTTTTTATTTCAGCTCATGCATGTAGATGTAAAAAAAAAAAAAAACTATATATTGAACGTGATTACTGCCTAATATRCTGCTTGCTTTTCAAAGTCAAAACCACCATTTTTTTAAAGCAAATTAGCTCCTGTTAAAATGTTTTAAACCAGTCCAGTAATTTTAAAGCAGCTTCATCTTTTCTGCCAGGGTGCTGTCTTCCATGCCTGGAACTGCACTGCCAAAGAGTTATACTTCACAAAAAGAACAAAACAAACACAAGAAGGGAAGAGAGACTCATGCAAAATTAATTACAGACTGCCATCCCTGTTAGGCAGCCTGAGACCCTTCTTCCCTGCCCCTGCACCAACCCCCCATCCTACTTGTTACCTTTGTAGTCACAAAACTCCTTTATCGTCACTCCCTGAGCAAACCTCCGCATTTCCTTCTTTGCAACAACAATCATCCAAACAAAGCACATCATAAAAATAACCACTCTCCCCAGGCAGTCTTGTGATAATGTAAACAAATACAACTGCTAAGACATGATAGAAGAATGCGAGGAATTCAAAGAGCTGTCATTGTTCTATATGTTTCTTGATACAAGTCTGTAGTCGAGGTTATTTAATAACTTGGAAAAGCAGGCTCCTGTGTGTAATTTGTCAGTTTGGATGCATACACAGTGTTGCAGATGCCCTTAAAGGCTCAGCGAGAACATGTGGGCATCGTGAAACCTTTGTTTCTGTAGCAGTTTGATCTATGAAATGCTGGTTATGGATAAAATACAGTTTTTTAGTATTTAATCTGCTGCAACATTTTTGAATGCAATTCAGCTTTTGAAGGCACCACTGGGGCAGGAAGAGACTGCTGAGAAGCAGGAAGGATGAAGCAGCTACAGTTTCAGGCTTTATTTATTTTTCCCCAAACCTTTTAATCTGAGGCATTGAACTGTCCGCACAGCAAAAAGCTACAATCTGTATGTTAAAAATAATTTAAAGGATCTTYTCCTGGTTTAAAGTTTGGTTCTTTTTTTTTATTTGATCTCAACAATAATGTTAGCCTGCAGAGTTTTTTAAAGCCCAAAACAAACTTGCTTTTGCTTTTATTTCACATAACTTGTGTAAAAATAAAAGAACTAGATAGATATAGCTGTAGCATATGACCTCCCACAGGTATGTAATGCATCAGAACTCAGCAGAACATATTTTTTGTTTTAGGTTGGTRTTCAGAGGGGGTGGGGTTCATTGGTGGGTCCAATGGATAGCCCTTCTTTAGAACTAAATAAYAAAAAATCTGAAGCTCCTATGTTGAATAGTTTTTGAGTTATAAGCATTTTTGTATGTCCAGACACCCCTATTTTAGATGGAGCCCCCTCCTCAAATATGGGGTCTATTGTAAAACAGTTGGCTGGTTCAGTGTAGGTTGGACACATCAGTCCTGCCAWATTTCTTGTTGATCATCCGTTTCTGTGATATTGTTGAACAAAAATCTCTGGAGAAAAAAAAATTGCAAAAAGAATATGACCCCTGCTTCGCATACAGGGGTCATAATAACGAGTGATAAAAGCATATTACTTGAAGRAATGCTTTAATGCTAAAGTTGTAGACTAAAATCATTTTAACCTTAAATACAGTTCTATGCAATWTGATGAAATACTCTTAGCTCTTCTAATACCACTGGTCTAAATTGCATCAGTTCTGCAAACAATAACTGACTACTGTATAGCATGTTTTTCATATAATCACCTACTTTGTATTAAAGCTAGAAYGCCTGAAATGTGTTTAATGTTGGAACAAAGCCTCCAACATATGAGACAACACAACCTGTGCAGCAGACGGAGCACACTGAAGCCCTCGCCTCATTCCAGATGCTGCTTACGTTTTGCCTCTGAGGTAAAAACAATACAGTCCTGGTGCTGAGGTACTATCCTGCTCCTTTAATATCCAGCACTAATCAAAACAAAGCAAAAAAAACAAAAAACTTCAGTTTCAGTTCAATGTGGCCCCAGATTCCCGCCGCCAGCCTGGAGCTCCGATGGAGCAGCAACATTGTTCTTTCTCGGCCTCTAATTTGGCTCCTGTGTGCTGAGAGCGGCGGGGCTATCATTTAGAAAAAGGATCCGAGAGTGCTGTGGTAAACACATAAACAAGATGGGGGGAAAAGAGAAAAACGGGCCTCTGTCTTCTGGTGAAGGAGAGGCTGGGTGAACTGAGGGCAGAAACAGATGAGAACAGCAGTAAACTGAGCAGACTTTACAAGTTTCCTAAACTCTGTGAAGCTGATGGGGAATGAAGCTTTTGAAAGAGCGTTTGATCTGATTCTACTGTAATTAGTCACTACTCACAGAAATGAAGACGGGTTTATTATCGCCCTGAGGTGGTGAGGTTTTCACCATTTCTCAGCACAAGATCTAAGTGTTAAAAAATGTCAATGAATGTTGGTGGGTGATAYGCATTCCTTCAAGGAATGCTAAATCTTAAATTCAATACTGAACAGAGGTCAACTACTTAAAAYTTTTCAACATTTGTAGCATTTTATATTACTTTAGCCTTCAGGATGATGGAAATTGTGCATGTGYTCACATTTTCACACAGGAGGAGAGGAAGGAAGAGAGTTGGGCATAAGTCAGCCTCGTCTGCAGACAAGCAGAAAATTACATTCCCCTTACCCTCCATTCATTTATTAGACAAGAAGTAGTTAGTGTTTTGTTGGTCAGCATTAGTGCTCTGGAGAACAATAATCAGCCGCAGCAGAAAAAAACGTGTTTGAACCGGACAGCGCTTTCCACTATCGTCTTATAAATAACATGCATTTGATTAGCAGTAGCTTCTCTGTGATAGATTTTCCTCATTGTCAGAGCATTTTACCAACAGTTCTGCTTTTGCACCAGTTTTAATGGTCTTGTCATTCAGGCTCAGTCAGCCCAAAGAGGAGGCCATCCCTGTGGGTCACCCACATGGCAGCTCGGAACCGTCTCTGCCTAATGTTCCAGACAGGAGCCTTGGGCAGAACAGGAGGTTCTCTTTGTCCCTCAGCCACAGGACATCTCAGTGACTTTAATTCAACTCCTTTTCTTTATCGCTGAAAAAAAAAATCAATGGAGGTATGGAGGTGTAAAAGTGTCTGTGCCCTGCAGTGTCACTTCCCCAGGAGAATTTCTTCACTTCATTTGATCACCAAACCATGGGTTTGGCAGACTGGTGTGCTGTGTTCAAACAGGTCCTGGAAATTTGATCTCCTGCAGATCACACAGGTGTCCAGCTGCTCCCAGTCAAACAATGAACATGACCCGCCACAATCTCTGGTTCATGGCCTACTGAAAACCAACGACTGCATACCTTTTTTCCCAATAGAAGCTTGGTATTTGCTATAAAACGCTCAAGACTGGATGCCTTTCACAAATGAAATAAGGCATTTCTACCTTTTTCCTTTGGYGTAGTCTTTGTTTTCTGTGGGTTTAGTGAAACACCTGGACAGTTCACAGAGGAAGAAAAGAAGAAAATGTCAGGGTCAGCACCAGTATCTGTCGAAGCTGCAGTTCTTCCAGGAGATGAGAATAATTTCAGAGTGTAAACTGGGTGGTCTTTGAGGGCCTCGGGTCTGGACTGTATTGAGCTATGTATATTAAACAAGTATCAAAGAGCCTCTCATTGAACTTTACATGGACTAATAGCTTTGGGCCTGGTATGCCTGCTGCAAAGATAATCAAAGACATCCCTTCTCAAGCAAAACAAGAGCGGGTGGACTTCAACAAGTGCCCAACCAAAAGAACTAATGAGCTGGTAAATGCGGAAAGCAGCCCATTTTCATATGTTAATGTTAAATTTGTAGTGCAGGCTTGTGGAAATGGCTTAACTGCATGAGCTGCCTCTCTTGAAACAGTGAGTAAAAAAGGATTTTGTTAGAAGGGGGGCGGGGTTCAGCATTTGATAGCTGGAGTTTTCTTTTTCTTGAGATGAAACACTGTCTGACAATCTGAGCCAATTAAAGAGCACTGAGCTGTGACCTGCGGGCTGGAGAGATGAAAACAAGCCTGATCGGTAAACACTGACTGCCCCTCTCCAGTGTTATCCTCCTGAAAAGCCAAAGCGTAYTCATTAATATTCTGGCTTTCTTCTTCCTAAGAAAAGGCCAAGGGGTTGTGGACACTAAGTGGCATTGTGCTCCCCTGTGGGTTTGGGTAACCTTGCGGTGGTGGCTGTGGTGGGGCGGATCCAAGTTGGGTCAGGGTCCTCTAAACAGACTGAATAGACCCGAGCTCTTTACACAAGCCTGGGCCATGCTTGACAAGATGAGAAAACACAAAGTACTCGGAATGAGTGAAAGGAGAGCAGGACACCATCTGCTCTGGGCTTTAAGCTACTGCTCAGAGAGAAGGGAAGATGATTAGAAGACAGCATGTGATGGAAAGAGAGAAAGGAGGTACAGCTGACAACATATGTTGCAAAAAAAGAGGGCAAAATGACCAGTGGCTTGTCTTTGATAAGATACTGTCCTTTATATATAAAAAGGGAAAASAATGAAAAAGTTCTCATGACATTTTCTATTACTCGTGATCTCTCTTTCAGGTCTGTTTTTTATTCTGTACTTTAACCAAAGCAGTGTGAGACAGTCACCACGGTCTGTCAGAAGACAACAGAAGAGATTTAAAAAAGAGCCGGAGTATTGAGATACAGACATGAAAGGAATAAGTGAATAACTGATTAAGTGAAGACGACAACACAAAAATAGACACGGAAGGAAATAATGCAAGAGAGACCTCCCCCTGTGTGACCTACATACCTGCTAAACCTGCTGTCAGTGGTGGCCTGCTCCGTTCTCATCACTCACTGAAATACTTTACATAATCTTTAGAGTCCCTTTACGCCGCTTGAGGGKCCGCTGCTGTTTTCAATACCTTTTGTGGTTTGTTATAACAAGGCGCAGGCTGTCTTGCTGTGGAGCAGTGAACGTGACACTAGGCGATGTGGCTAACCACTGT